GGCCGGTAACTCAGTGAATAGTGGTTATATCCAATGGCCATATTATTGGGGGTAGCGTTAGATAATAAGATAGTAAAGTCTATTATTGTGTCAAGAGGCCACGCTTGTACGTGACAGTCGCCTGCCCAGTGCTCACGCTGGGTTTCATTTTTTTCCCGCCAATTTTTCATTTTAATTTATTAGCCATATATTTTCCCCGCCAAAATAAAGAATAAATATCTATTAGATTTTTTCAGTATTTTTTTTTTGTCCCCCGCCTTTCGAAGAAAGCAGGGGACTATTAAAATGGGTTCGTCCGTCTGTCTGTCCGTCTGTCTGTCCGTCTGTCCGTCTGTCTGTCCGTCACACTTTTTGGGACACAATAACTCTCTTCCTAATTGAGCTAAAATGTTCAAACTTGGTGTATGTGTTTATTAGGTCAATGCCTTGATGGAGTTCGAAGATGAGCATTTTCCGCTTAGGGTAAGCAGAGATAAGCAATTTGATTGGTTGATGCTTTGGGACACGATAACTCTCTTCCTAATTGGGCTAGAATGTTCAAACTTGGTGTATGTGTTGATTAGGTCAATGCCTTGATGGAGTTCGAAGATGAGCATTTTCCGCTTAGGGTAAGCAGAGATAAGCAATTTGATTGGTTGATGCTTTGGGACACGATAACTTTTAATTGAGCTAGAATGTTCAAACTTGGTGTATGTGTTTATTAGGTCAATGCCTTGATGGAGTTCGAAGATGAGCATTTTCCGCTTAGGGTAAGCAGAGATAAGCAATTTGATTGGTTGATACTTTGGGGCACGATAACTCTCTTCCTAATTGAGCTAGAATGTTCAAACTTGGTGTATGTGTTGATTAGGTCAATGCCTTGATGGAGTTCGAAGATGAGCATTTTCCGCTTAGGGTAAGCAGAGATAAGCAATTTGATTGGTTGATGCTTTGGGACCTGATAACTTTAGTTCTAATTAAAAGGGAGAGTGAGGACACTTGGTGTATAGCTTTATTATATCAATACCTTGACTAAGTCTCGATAATGAGCATTTTCTGCTTAGGGTAAGCAGAGCGATAAGCAATTTGATTGGCCGAGACTTTGGAACACATTAACTCCTTTTCTAATTGAGCTAGAATGTTCAAACTTGGTGTAGGTGTTTATTAGGTTAATGTCTTGATGGAGTTCGAAGATGAGCATTTTGTGCTCAGGTTAAGCAGAGATAAGCAATTTGATTGGTCGAGACTTTAGAACACAATAACTCTCATTCTAGTTGAGTTAGAATGTTCACACTTGGCATAGGTGGCTATTAGGTGAATGCCTTGATGGAGTGTGAAGATGAGAATTTTTTGCTTAGAGTAAGCAGGGATAAGCAATTTGATTGGTTGATGCTTTGGGACACGATAACTTTAGTTCTAATTAAGTGAGAGTGAGGACACTTGGTGTATAGCTTTATTATATCATTACCTTGACTAAGTTTGATAATGAGTATTTTCTGCTGTCATGTCATGGCTGAGTTCAATTATTAACATTGGTCGATGCTTTGGGACAAGATAACTTTGATTCTATCTGATAGAGAGTGCTGAAACTTAGTGTATAATTTGATTGCTCGATACTTTTGAAAAAAATAAATGTGCGATTAATTAATGTGTCATCTATTTATTTTGGGATTTCGGCGGGGGACATCAGCCTCACTGTTGGCTTGTTTACATAAGTACATACAATATACATATGATATTATAATTTACAAAATTCTTCTCTGCTTTGCAGAAGCCCATTTTTTGAAAGCTTTTTCAACATCTGGGTTAACCACTTTTCCATTACTTAGTAACATTAAATTACACAGTGTATTTGTTTTTAATGAATATCTGTATATCTGAAAATTTCCATTCATCCTTAAAAGATCTACCTTTTCATAATGCGCTTAAACAAAAATGGATAATCGAGACTATGTTTTATTATTGTACCGACTTTAATAATGATGATCGAGGCTATGCATACAATTCAAAAGCTAATATCTCGGTCCAGAGTGGAGCAATTTGACCTCGAGGGTTTTCTCCGGTTTCCTCTCACAGACAAAGAACTCTACACGCTAGCGAATTATTGGAATAAAATTGAACTATCTGCTAGTCCCGAAATGGCCTAGTTTGTGTCGAGTGGACGTTAAACCCCATTTCTCTCAGAATACTGATAATGTCATTGACTGATCACTAAAATCAAAATTCTAGCGCTTGGCCAATGAAATGCTTGTATTCGTAAATAATTTTGTAGCAGTTTTTTTTAATATTGTCAAAATGAAATGTTCACAAGTCTATACAGGGTTGTGTGTTGGCAAAGTAGTCTACCGCGTGCACTTCGGGTCATACGGTATTATATATTTGCCTGGGGAACGAAATATAGATCTGTAGTTTAAAGGGGCAATAACACTGGCTTGAAAGCTCCAGAAAATAAATAATATCTCTATCCAAGTACTAGATGTTTAAGTGTCCTACCTGTTGTGTAAATTATCCATTACATCCTATTTTACTTGTCCAGAGGGTTCGAATATATTTTTTAATCGAAGTTTCATTTGAAAAGGTTTACGTTAGACGTTTCAAATCATTATGTTGAATTTTTCAAAATTTTTAAATAAGGTGTGTTAAGATGAAATTTGTATCATCAATTAATTGAATATTGTAAAATAGTACAATTTGTTGACCAGAATAAAGATTAGGACATATTATTCAGTTACAACAAGAGTGATATTGAGCCTTTAATCAGATTGCATACAGAGAACTATCTACACTACTTCGAGAATAGATCTCTGTCCTAAATGGCCGCCATATCCGGTTCACATCTGTTATATGAAATGAAATGGGGTTTAACGTCCTACTGCTCTGCCCCTATACTGGGCTAATGAAGATTAGCATACGCCATACAGTGTGGTATGAGTGAAATTTAGCTCGAGCAGCGGCACTATGACCTACGCTTATATCGAATAGCAACTGCCAAGGGATCTTTTACGTGTACGCTTCAAGCCCTCCGCTCTGACCCACTAACAAGGATAAACCTCGTCGGAAAATCCGATGAACCTAACGTCCAATGCAAGGATCGAACACACGACCTCCAGGCTAGCGAGCCTGCGTAAGTTTAGTATGTGTTAGTGAGTCACTTTGGCTTCTATCGGAGCTGACTTAGAGACCCCAGTTTGGAATATAAAAGTTTAAACAGCACGTGCGCACTGTATCATAAGGCCTGTCATTGACTCAACTGGCGTGGTTTCAAATCCTCGCTTGTACGTGTCAAGGAGTAGGGTCGCCTGTCCAACCTCGTGGGTTTTCTCCGGGTCCTCCGGTTTCCTCCCACTGCTAAAGACCCTACGCGCAAGTGAATTATTGAAATAAAAATTAAACTATATGTTAGTCTCGAAATGACCTAGTTTGTGTCGAGTGGACGTTAAACCCCATTCTCTCTCTCCCTTTCTCTCTCTCCCTCTCTTTCTCTCTCTCTCTTAACCAGCTGGGCGTTTATTAGATTAAAGACGGTACAGTAAATTATTTTTTTTTTACGCGACAGACTATAAACATAATTACTCGCAATTCAATACATATATAATAAAGCTTTTAACACCAACAAAAAATATCTTAACTGAATTTAATACGAAATCTTTTAAAAACGAAGAGGACAAAAAACAAAACTAACATAAGGATTCGCTCCCAGAAGGAGCCACGGTGGCTAAGTGGGTAAGACGCTGGCTCGCTATCGCGTGTTGATCCCTGCATTGGATTGTCGGACGTGGTTTAACCTTGTCAGTGATGCAGGACGGAGGGCCTAACAGGGACAGCTTTCTAGTCGTTCGGGTGGGAAAACAAAAGAGGTCCCGTCCCGTGTATACATTGACGTGCACGTAAAAGATCATTTGACAGTTGGAATTCGATATAAGAGTAGACCATAGTGCCGCTGCCCGGGAAAAAATTTCCCTCATAGCACACTGTATGGCGTATGCCCGTCTTCATTAGCCCAGTTGGGGCAGAACAGTAGGACGTTAAACCCCATTTCATTTCATTTCGCTCCCAGAACAAGGATCGGTGTTTCTGTAGTCAGTTTTGGTTATTAAATACCCAAGATAATCAATATTTGGAGTACTAGTAGTTCGTAGGGTTTGATGTCCGCTTCCACCGGGGGTGATATCGCGGACAAATGGTAGGGTCGCCTGCCCAACCTCGTGGGTTTTCTCCGGGTCCTCCGGTTTCCTCCTACTGTTGCAGTTTAGACATTATAAATACCTGAGATTCACATGAAATTGGGAGGTTGGATTCCCGAATGGTTAGCGCTTGCGCGTTGTGTCATAAGGTCTGTCATTGTGTCAACTGGCGTGGAGTAGGGTCGCCTGTCGAACCTCATGGGTTTTCTCTGGGTCCTCCGTTTTCCTACCACTGCTAAAGATCCCTACGCGCAAGCGAATTATTAAAATAGAATTGAACCATATGTTAGTCTCGAAATGACCTAGTTTGTGTCGAGTAAACGTTAAACCCCATCTCTCTCTCTCCCCTCTCTCTCTCTCTCTCTCTCTCTCTCTTTCTATGAAATTAACTTCAAAAACTCTGACTCTAGTTAAAGATTTAAAAATGACTTTAACGGTAGTTTTTAAATAAATCCCTAATCTGATGTTGTAACCTTCATGACATGTCTTTATATATATTATTAATAAACTATAATCTATATTTAACTTTTTTATTTATTTAAGTCACCATTTCAACCTCACATCAGCTATTTTTATCTCAGTAATCTCATTTTAATTATCACCCCTGTCGAGAGCTACAAAAGAAACGCTTTATAAAAAGTAGCCGATTTCGTATATTCATGGACATAAAAAGTGTGATGGCCATTTGAATCTTACCACAAAGGATTAATGAAACCGCTGAGAAGGGAGGATAAACAATTGATCTTTAAAAATTCAAAAAATAAAAGAAATTAAAAAGGCGTGTTCGACTAGTATAAATAGTGGTTATATGTAACTTTAGTTTAAAACCGTCATCGGAAGACTAGTTCAACGCATCGATACCTTTTTGGTGATCTCTCTTATTCGTGGAGTATTTGGAAACTTGCGAACTTCTGACATTACATTTCAAGTGAGTTTGTATTCTTAAAAAGCCAAAGAAAACATCTGATCAAATAATTCACCGGCCATATAGAAGACGGGACCAGTCATTGTTATATAGAAGACAGGACCAGTTATTGCCATATCGAAAGAAAGATTTCAAGATGCTGCTGACCGTACGTCTGCTCACCTTGTTCCAGTTCGTCGTCTTACTCGGTAAGTAACTATTACTTCTAGAACAGTAAATACCACTTCTCGTTTGTGGGGGGATGCACATAAAAGATCCCTTGGCAGTTGGAATTCGATATAAGAGTAGGCGATAGTGCCGTTGCCCGGGCAAAATTTCCCTCATAGCACACTGTATGGCGTATGCCCGTCTTCATTAGTCCAGTATAGGAGCAGAACAGTAGGACGTTAAACCCCATTTCATTTCATTTCATTTGTGGGGGGAAACGTTCGTACAAAGTTGAAATCGCTTTTTAAACAACAATATTACTATCATGACGTACACTTGAAGGGGCATTATGGGAGATTAAAGAGTTGACAGTTTTCGCTATAAAAGTTACAATAGTCAATAATATCTGAACCGAGATATTAGCTTTTAAATTTTAGTCTAGCCTCGATCATCATTACTAAATTCGGTACGATAAAAAAAAACAAAGTCTCGATTATCCATTTAACGTTTAATTATTTTTTCAAAAAATGTATTCCAATCCGTTAAATATCGCAGGCTAGCGATGGCATCGAGAGTTGATTACGGTCTTGTCATGTTAATAAATGTTTACTTAATAGTTTATATAACATTTAATGCCAAAAGAAAGACCCGCAGATTTAGCTCTTGCATAATGAATGTTTAATGGATAATCGTCCGAAACGCCGCTGTCAGGGTAATATTTCCCTCATAGCAGAATACAAGGTTTACTCGAGCATTCATTTGCCCGGTTGGTGCAGAAAAGTAGGACGTTAAATTCCATTTTTGATTATCACTAAGCGTAACTAACGATATATAATGCGAGAGAGAGAGAGAGAGAGAGAGAGAGAGGGGTGGGTGGGGGGTAACGTCCACTCGCTCGACACAAACTATGTCATTTCGAGACAACAAAATGGTTTAATTTTATTTCAATACTTCGCTTGAACATTTTAACATGATGACCATGTTTATACTTTCAGACGACATTAATGGGGCTGTCATTCTCCACAAGACCCCGACGGTGATGGTGAACCCTACAGGGCACAGACCGACGCTAGCATCATCCCTTGTCAAGAGATCAGTGGACTTCAAGCACGGATATCATAACCAATACAAATTCCTGCTCCCTAGATTCAGACGAAGCGTCTCTAATGGCGACAAAGCGTTCCACACGAGTAATTACTTCCCTACTGCCCCGAAACAACAGAACGTTTATTCCCCACCTGCACCATCAACTTCTTCAGCATCTTCGACAAATCAGAACTGGAATCTCAGGGCACTAGAGGATGACAACTATAACACAAGAGCCAATAGAATGACCCAGGAAGATGATTTTTATAATGCGGCAAGAGGAAGTCTATTATATGCCGAGGATGATTACTATAACTACAACAACCAACCTAGTCGATTTCCATCTGGGTCATCCTATTACCGTCAGCCATATTACGAACATCAGGGTTATCAGAACCAGAATATACAAACGGGCGGTCAGTACGAGGACGATAGAAAGAAACGCGCAGCGTCTGCGCTAAAACGGTCCAACAAAAGCATGATTAAAAAGCGCGAGGTAAGTCTGAGCAATTTACAAATTCAGGATTTTCCAACGCAACAACTCGGCGAAAGGATACTTGGAAACAGCGATAACTTGAATAATGGACAACTTGGTGTCACAGGCTTTGATAACCAGGCTCTTGGTAACGTAGCGTATATTGATGATAATTACTCGAATAACCAGGGTTTTGGTAATGCAGGGTATTTTGATAACAATTACTCGAACAACCAGGCTCTCGGTAGCACCGGATATATAGATGATAATTATTCAAACAACCTTCAAAACCCGAACAACCAGGCTATCGGTGGCTCCGGTTATATCGATGACAATTATTCAAACAATCAACAATATTCGAATAACCAGCCACTGGGGATTGCAGGTTACAATGACGATATTTTATACGCGAATAACCAGGGTGTTGGGAGTACTAGATATATGGATGACGACTTCGTAAATCAACCGATCGGCTCCACAGGTTTAACCAACAGTCAAGGGGTAGCTAACGCCGGATATTATAGCGATGATTATACCCCGAACAACCAGCCACTCGGGGCAAACGGAAACTCGAATAATCTTCAACTTGGCGGCGGGGGTTTAATAGATGACGATTTTATAACTAATGGCCAACAGATAGGAGGCGTTGCTGGTGGCAACCAAGCTGACCAGATGGGTGGAGTTGATGGGGTACTTTCACAAGTTGGGCGGCGTGTTATTGAACACTCTTGGCCGGGTAGGCAGGTCAGTGGAGTCGGTGTTCAAGATGCAGAAGATGTCGCAACTCGACCAGTTAGCGGATTAACAGGCGCTGACGTGCATCATCGAGGTCGCTACCCATATTTATCAAACATCTTTAATAAAAGACCATTTCATCTCGGGGGGGCTGGTGAACAGAGACCAATTGCCAGCGTGACGAACAACCCCACCGCAACTGTTGTCAACGTCACAGACATACAATTTCCGCAGCCGAATCCACAAAACAATGGCGTCCCAAAACCAGGAAGATACATCAACACCCCGGACAATCCTAATCTAGAAGACAAACCAAGAACGCGGGTCAATCAGAACCGAACGAATTCAGGCGCACCGTTACCATTGCTACCACCGAACGCTGTGCACGAGACAAGAAAGAAGCGCGACAACTCTGATTGGTTTAATAATATGTTTAATGGACGAGGCGACGACTATTCATCTCAGGTTGGTTTACGGAATCAAGCCATGGATGATGATTATTATTATTATGCAGTTAATTTTAATGGCGGTAACGCTGGTGATGATTACAATGACTATTTTAACGGGTTTCAACGTGCAGACCAATTTGAGGAAGATCGAAAGAAACGTGATATTGCATTGAAATCTCGAACTGACAATCAGATAAATAAGGCTTCACTTGTTGGATGAGTTACCAAAATTATTATGTTTATGCCTATACAAATGTTTCACTTTTTTGCTTAGTGTTGCATTCTAATTAATGCAATGATTTATTAATTGGAATATAGAAAGAAATATGGCTAAATTGGAATAAGGTAAAAAGATATGGCTAAAGTATCTTTGACAGAGGGTCAGAGTTAGGGTTCGTGAAAACAGTTACTCCGATATGCCATTTTGCGCATATGTTCTATGACATTTTGTCCTGTGGATAGCCTATATGCCCTGTGACTTTTTGCCCTGCGTGCAGATGTTCCGTGACATTTTGTCCTGTGGCGTTTTGTCCCGCATTCATTTACAAGGATTAATGATTCCCAAAATGACGACGAAATACGGTTTCAGTTGTTACATGCCAAATATCGTGTTTTGTTAATTAATTGTTTCTATTTCTATTGTTTAATTGTATAATTATTGTTGTTTTATAGCATTCGGAGAACGAATGTTGTTTTGTATTCTAACGTGTAGAGAATGAATGTTGTTTTGTCTTATAACATATAGAGGATAAATGTTGTTGTCTTTTATAACATATTTAATGTTGTTTTGTTTTACAGCATGTGAACAATAAATATTGTTTTGTTTTATATCGAAAATTAAATGTTGTTTTGTTATATGACATATAGAATGTTGTTTTAGAAAACCATTGTTAAAATTGTTATATTGTTTATATATAATCATATATTTGAATGTTTTCAATAAATCATAGTTCAGTTAAATTGTCTCCATTATGTTGTTAATGTATCCATCAATACCTATTACAGGGGTTGACATAGCTGATGAGGGAACGGGTTGCCACCCCACCCCACCCCCATTCCCGATGTTCTCTCGCCCCATGCGTTAGATTATTGTTCTGAAAAACTGACTGTAAATGTGCTTCCTTAGTACCAAACCGCCAGACAAATGAAATGAAATGGGGATTTAACGTCCTACTGGTCTGCTCCGAACTGGGCTAATGAAGACGGTACCAATACGCCAGAGACCGCGAACCATCACAAACAGATATCTGGCACATCTTTATTTGAAACAGTTCTTTGCGCAAATGCGTGAAGACAATGAGACTGAACGTGGAGAAACCCCTCGAAGTTCGGTAGGCGCATCCACTCCTTACCTCCCAACAATTGAATCGATGAGAGACCAGTATATGTCTTATTTACAACTAATGCGGGTGAACGGGGGCACTCACTGAATGAAGTGGGGTTTAACGTCCACTCGACACAAATTAGTCATTTCGGGCCTAACATATGGTTCAATTTTAGTTTAATAACTCGCTTGCTCGTAGGGGTCTTTAGCAGTGGGAGGAAACCGGGGGACCCGGTGAAAGCCCACGGGGTTAGACATGCCATTTATGTCCTAAAAGGATGGAAGCAAAACCGAGTGTCTTGAACAGGTGACTAACGCAGTCGCAATATAATGTAGCTCTCAACGAATAATGTCAATCAATACGCTATACCCTTTTTTTGTTTTTGTTTGGGGGGGGGGGGGGCATCCTGTCATACTTGGTTTTTACTGGATTTAGGGGGTTCTTTTGAACACACAATTCAAACAAAGAGATAAACAAGAATATGAGAAAGATTTATTTTTAACATATGTTCATATCACAGATTTTGGGAATACCGTTCGGGTTAGATAATGCGCCACCCACGTTTCCTTCTACGTTCCTGCTTTTATCAACACATAAATACGATTATATGTAAATATGAGCATAATAAATGGTACCATGAGTAGATAACAATAAACATACATTCAATATTATTTGTCAAACATTCTACATTTGTTGTAGTTATTGATTATTATGCATAGCATTGATATTACAAAATGCCCGTTCATGTAGAAAACGATGATTATCGTACGGAAAGCAATGAGCGTCCATAGTAGTTAGTGTACAAGAAAACAGTCGCCGTTGCTTGTTATTGTTTTTGCTTTTTTTTCAAATGTAACGGTTGCTGATCCGGAAAAGGTGTTTTGTAGAAAATAATTCGTCATTAGAAAAGAGGTTGGCACACATTGTTCGATTTAATTGGACGGAATAGATACTGCAGATTCCTTTAAACGGCCTAGGAAACGTTTTTGACTTGAATTTGACTGAAACACAGTCCCATAGCTTCACAGATTGGCGCCAGACAACAGTTAATGCAGGTTCCGAAGAATTTCTGTGCACAACCCAAGTTGATCATACAGACTCTCAAGCACGGTGTGATCTGCCAGACGTGTTGGAACGTGATCATGGCGAACTCACATCCCCAGCATAGAGCAAGAGGGAGACCACACAGGAACGTAAGGAACATGTAACAGCAGTTCTTGCTGCAGTTGAAACACTTGTATGAATTCCTCCAGACACAGTCAGCACTGTGGGCACCTTCTGGTTCAGCCAACACATCTTCAAACATAACCTGAAATCAAAAGAAAAAAATGGCATTTGAAATTAGGGCTGGGGAAAATCATGACACGTAAAGCTGCCTTCTCGGAGTTAACGGTTTCAAATTAAACGGAGTTTGACGTCCGCCTTTCTCACCAACTGGAACAAGAAAGACAGAACACATAGCCTTGCGATCAGATTAAAACTTTTTGGTGTACAACTTTATTAGTTGAGCCTTTTCCCATCAATCCAATAAGGGATTCCAAATGTCAATGCTCTTTGTACGATATTGAAAGCCACGGTGGCTCAGTGTCAATATGTTTCAAGAAAGTTTCGAGTCTGGCTATGGCCAAATATGGACAAGGTGTCTAGTCGTTCGGATGGGACAAAAAGCGAAGTCTCGTGTATACAATTGGCAACACGTTAAATGGTCCCATGACAGTTGGAAACGGAAATAAATGAAATGAAATGTGGTTTAACGTCCTACTGTTCTGCTCCGACTAGGCTAATGAAGACGGGCATACACCATACAGTGTGCGATGAAGGAAATTTTGCCCGGGCAGCGTCACTATGGCCTACTCTTATATCGAATTCCAACCGCCAAGGAGTCTTTTACGTGCACGCCAATGTATACACGGGACCTCAGTTTTTCGTCCCATCCGAACGACTAGACAGCTGTCCTTGTCAGGGTCTCCTTTCTGCACCGCTGACAATGGGAAACCACGTTGGAAAATTCCGAACTTTCTCGGCCAATGCAGGGATCGAACACGCGACCTCCACGCTAGCGAGCCAGCGTCTTAACCACTTAGCCAGCAAATAGAAATAAAAGTAGCCCTTAAATTTCCCTTATCGCAACCGACATTTAGTATGTCCGTCTTTTTTAGCCCGGTAAAACGTTTAACACCATTTTATTTCAGTTATCAAATATTCGAATCTGTCCATCTCTCGCATACATCACGTGCAGTGAACAGGTAAGGCCAGGTAAGTTATTCTTTAATATTTAATTATATCAGTTGATCGGAGAAATAACAGTTTGTTTGTTCAGTGGAGCGGTAACGAAATACAACGTGTTTTATTTACATAGTGATGAAGTTATGGGGTGCCCTTGTCACCACTTGACAGGTGCGCGTTGTCATGACATCATGTAAACAAAAACACTGTTGGTTCACTCGAAGACAACGAGGGTTTCTATACAACGGCTTTAAAAGCTTTTATCAATATCGGCTCTTTATTGACTCAGTATAAGTGGCAAGTGAATAATATATATATTAAAATGAGTACTTGGTTAAATCTATTATCCATAATTTACTCCGTTCCTTTGAATTCAAACTAAACATACATTCTTTGATTAATAATTCCTTTATTATAATAAGTCAATAAAGCGCACGGAAACATGGTTTAATAAACTACGCGACAATAATAGGTGGGGAGAATATTAAGGGATTTGATTGACTTGTGTGTATGATATTTATATTAAAGGGGAACGTCAACCTAATAATTTATACACTACCAACATAATATATTCATGTAGTTAATCGTAGTATATTACTGTTTAATAACCACATATATGAGTACACATGTTTTATTAATTCCAAGAGCGATAATAATATTCAAAAAAAAAAATAAACCGAACTTCTTAAACATACATTATGCAAGAGCTAAATCTACCTATTGGCGGTCTTTCTTTAGGTCAAAAAGGCTTTTTAAATTATTAATTAGACATTAATTAACTTATCCAGGCCATAATCAACTCTCGATGGCATCGGATTTCTCCGATATTAAATAGGTTAGAACAGTTCAGCCATACTTTGATTTAAGCTGGAGGAGCGAGACTTAGCTTCGAATAACCAGTACGGTGGCTGAAAGTATTGCACACGTCTTGTCAAACCTTCAAACCTTCGCCCGCAATAGAGTAATTTGAATGAAATTTTCAAATTATTCATTTTACATTATCTATTCTATTTTCAAACTATTTTTAAAGCCGCGGTTCTTTATTTATATTTTTCGGACAATATCTATCTTTTACCAGCTTAACATGTACTTAGTTTGTAAACTGTCCTTTAATTTATTTTTGATATTCAATTTGTGCACAAGTATATACAAATCTAAACTTGAAATTCTTTCAAGACAATATTAGTACAGGTTTATCGCTTATGTCTAATAAAATTTTATTGGCCAAATATGTTTAATATGTCCTAAAATTTAATTCCCCTACGCACACAGCTTAGAGGCAGCAGTGTGTTTGTACAAAAATTCTGCATACATTTAGTTTATTACTAACGAAAGCAAATAACAATGTTTTAAAACTGTTAAGTGTGTTTTTATTTCTAAAATGGTAATTTTCATTGTTGATAGTTGGGTATATAGCATGAAAAGCGCTGGCTTACTAAGCTAGAGGTATAGAACGGAGGGTCTGGCAAGCAATAGTGTCTAGTCGTTCGGGTAGGACGAAAAATTAAAGCCCCGTGTACACGTTGGCATACACGTAAAAGAACCTTTGGCAGTTGTATTTTGATGGAGAGCGTACGCGTCTCTATTCGTCCAGTAGGTGCAGAAAGGATATACGGTGTATTCATGTTTCTTATCTTATGTGCTTTGACAAGCTATTAAGTTTGAAAGGTAATAATTTTTTAGTTAACATTTATAACATAGTATAAAATGAATAACCCACTTGTTATGCTTTGACGTGCTATTAATTTTGAAAGATGATAATTTATTAGTCAACATTTATAGCATAATATAAAATGAATAACACACTTTTTATCTTTTATGCTTTGACGTGCTATAAACTTTTAAATGTAATAATTTATTAGTAAAAGATACATTATGTAAGATTTAGATAAAGAGCTGGTCATTCTTGATATAATAGCTCAAAAATAGATAATGTAAAATGAAAATATTGAAAATTTCATTTAAATTACTTCATTCTGGGCCAAGTTATCACTGTTTGTAGTTTTGACAAGATGTGTGCATTGTGGTAACCAGGGCACTGGTATATTCGAGACTTAGCCTCGCTTTCCCGTTTTTAAATTAAATTTTTAAATGGCGAACCGTTCGAATCTAGTTAAAATCTCGAGTATCCGATGCCACCGAAATTTGATTATGGTCTTTGTTTGTTAATAAATGTCTAATTAATAATTTAGATAACATTTCGTGCCTAAAGAAAGACCTGCAGTAGGCAGATTTGGCTCTTCGATCATGTATGTTTAACATTTAAACTTAATAAACCCCATTTTTTATATCGATTACAGCTTTATACATGTTTCCATTATTTAACTATTATTATAGCGTCGTTTATTATTTATTGTCATGGTAATATCGACATGTTATATTAATCAACATTTTAAAAAATGAAAACTA